TATACGAAGTGTCCAATAAAAATTAATATAAAAATTGTCCAATAATATATAACTAACAAAATAAACTATAACAATATTTATCTAATATGTATCATATATTTCATATTGTAATAACTTAGTTATAAATTATTTTATATAAATAAAGGATCTTTTGAATAAACCAAAAGGCATCAATTAATCAATACAAAATCTAGCTAGTTAATAAACTGCTTCTTGTTTATTATTTAATAAAATTGTACATTAATTGATTTTATAATTATTAATCTTGTTATAATATTTATTTTATATACTACTGGACATTCAACCAGATTGCTATAAAATATCAGTACTGTATTGCTATAGAATCATCATTACATTAAGTAAATACAAAGAAGATATTTATTAATAGTAATATTATTTATTCTAAATTAATAAAATAGAAAAAGCTGCACAATGTCATGATTCTAAAGCAACTGGATTGAATTATTAACTTATTGAAATAAATATTGATTGAACACCTACATCATGAGATTATCTATCTGAATCCAGAACTTGTGACAACATCAAAATCTTATATCCTAAAATGACCATTTTATTTTTGTTAGTGTCAAAAAAATAAATTTGATATAATATCTTAATATCTAATAATCAGATTCAAACAAAATATTATCATTTTATTCATTTTAACTAAACAAATTAAATGATATTATTTTTGTTTAAATTCAATTATTGGATATCAATGATTAGATTATTAGATATTAAGATATGTATTTTAAAATTTGTAATGTAAAATTTTAATGAATATAAAACTAAAGATGATCTCTTAAATTATTTTTGAAAAAATAATATTTTAGCAAATAATTCAGTTTTGCTATGTTGCTTATATTAATAAATACTTAAAAATCATTTAAAAATGCTTGTTTTAATTTGTAGAATTCAAATAATTTCAGAAAACAATTTCAACTACTAATAAAATAAGTCAAAATAATTTCAGATTTAATTTTAACAAGTTAATTTCAGCAAATTATTTAATTAGATGATATTATTTCAGTAATTATCCTTATATAAAACATTCAATATAGAAATTCTATCAACTTTAAAAAAAGTAAATAATTAGCATTTATATTATTTTTTATTTTCAGAAATTTTTAAAATAATATATATGATCTATAAAAAATTAGAGACATTTGAATACTTATAATTGCTATTATATATTTATACTTCTAATTATTGAAGATACTTACTAAATTTATTTTACAATTGATTCTTTTTAAAATCTATCCAATCATATAAAATAATATATTTCTGATATATTCTAATTTCAAATTCAATATTTATTATTTTTTTTCTAAATTCAGCAAATTCTTTAGCATAATATAATTTAACTTAATCTAAAGATATAGGATTTTTCACTTTGTGAGAAATTAAACTAAAAATTTCTCATCATTTAAAGTATTATTATTTAATAAGCTATTTCAGACAAGATGTGTATTTAATGATACTTTTTCTTGAAATTATCTCCAAGTTCTTTATATAATTCTTGCATATTCAAAATTAGTTTTTGATTTATTATAATTATGCTCCCAATAACTTTGTATTAAATTACTTGGTTCAATAATTTCAATTTATTTATCTCTAGCATGATGAAATTTCTTTTTTAACTTTATATTATTAATCATGATTGACTAGCTTAGAATTTTCAAATACATCAAATAAACAATAATATATTGAGATTTTAAGAAATATTTGTAAAATGCCAAAAAAATCAACTTTAGATAATGCAAAAGAGATTATCAAACAACAAAAAGAAGTGTGTCTTTCAGAAAAATATATTAATAACTCTTTATCTATACAATGAAAATGTTTTAAAGGTCATAAATGGACTGCAACATTTGATAATATAAAAAATCAAAGATTATGATGTTCATATTGTGCAGGAAATATCTGGCATGCTCTTGACATTGCTAAGATGATTGCAATTAATAAAGGTGGAGAGTGTATTTCAAATAAATATATTAATGGTAAATTCCATTTGTAATGGAAATGTACTAGAGATCATAAATGGAATGCAACACTTAACAGTATAAAACATCAAAATTCATGGTGTCCATATTGTGCAGGCCAAGCTAGAAATACTCTCAATATTGCTAAGATGATTGCAATTAATAAAGATGGTGATTGTATTTCGAATAAATATATTAATGGTTCATCTCATTTGCAATGGAAATGTGCCAAAGGTCATGAATGGAGTGCAACACTTCAAAATGTAAAAAATCAAGATACATGATGTCCCATATGTGCTGGACGTAATCGAAACATTGAGGATATGCAAAATTTTGCACAGAAACGAAATGGAAACTGTCTTTCAAATAGTTATAAAGATGCGCATTCTAAATTGATATGGAATTGTTCTAAAAGGCATATATGGAAGGCTATATAAAATATCATGGCTCGTGGTGTCCATATTGTAGTAACAAATATATGCGTGAAAATTTATGCCGTGAAATTATAACAAAATATCTTGGATCACCATCTAAAAATCGCAGACCTGATTTTCTTAAAACCTCCAAATACCCGAGTGGATTAGAACTCGATATTTATTATCCCCAGTATGGTCTAACTATAGAAGAACAGGGGCATCAGCATGAAAAATATAGAGGTGATCCCAATAATTTTATCAAACAGCAAGATCGAGATCAACTCAAGAAAGAATTATGTGAAGAAAATTGGATCGTTTTAAGGTATGTTTGGTACTACAAAGATCCATATATAGTTATTTCAGAACATCTTCGGGAATTGGGATTATATGAGTAATCAAGCTACTGTATGTTATGAAACAATAATTAAGGGTGCGAGATTAATTAATTAACTGCATTGAAGCTCTTACATATTTTCTACATTTTTTGTAGCAAATCAGGTAAATCAGTTTCAATTTTCATCAACTGCATCCATTCAAAACACGGTGAGCCTAGCCTCATCTACAATATCTAAGACCTTTAATGGGTTCCCTGGCTCATGTGCATATGCCAGTTGATCCGTAACATCATTACCGACAAGGGCATATTCCACTTGATTGCCGGGACGTTCTTCCCAGAGTAGGAATTCGGCTCGAACCCACTTGGTCTAATTATTGCCGTCGCCAATAGACACCTCAAAAATCTTGGATGCACGAATTTGTTCCGCAGGCGCCCCATAACCCCCAGCTATTAATCTCACTGTACTCCACCCCCTCCTCCCAAGCACCCTTTTAACAATGATATGGCAAGATCGTTTCTGGTGCACCCGTATCAATCACGCACGTATACTTTTTATTTTTATTCCTGGTGTCATAAAAATCATGTGTAAGCAGAGCGATTAAATTATTTTCACCAGGTCTTCTGACGCGAACTCTGATCTTTTCTTTGGAAAAATCAAAATAACTTGGAAATTGTAAGATACTAAATCTTAAAGTTCTCGTCAATTACACATTCAAACCTTGTAATCGGCTCCATTATTAGTACGCTGACCAATCATCATCTTCGCTGGCTTACTACGTGGCAGACGTGTCTGATCGACCGGAAGTTGGATGGCACCAGGCATAGTCTCAAGAATGTAGTCCAATTTATCATTTCTATACTCCTGTCCATACTCAATTACTTTCTGGTTGTGCACCGTCACCCATTCGTTTTCATGTCCAGCAAATTCGCCTTTGTCGAGTGCGTTGTAAAAAAATATGAAGTTAAACCCGATCTCGTCGTCAAATTCGAATTCAACGTCAGCAATTTTTCTGAAGGCATTCCTCCTGAAGCGTTCTGGCATCGAGGAAGGCCACCTGAAGTTGTTTCCTACACGAGCTATAAATAGGTTAAAGAAATATTTTAGCATTAAAGCACCACTAGACTACTTAAATATATAAAAGAAAACTATGACCCATTACCAAGAAATCTTTGCGCTTGAGGCTCATGCAAATCATACAAATTATGCAAATTATAAAAAAAATTAATTAAAATAATAATAAATAATAAATCACATGTACAAGTCACATGTCAAAATCACATGTTATATAAAAGTCACATGATTTCAAATTTGTCCAATAAGAATATAATAAATTAAATAAATAATTAAATTAATTAAATTAAATTATTAAAAATGTTAAATATAATAAAAGTGATTAATTATTGTGAGAGACCAACATGAGATTGACCCAACATGAAGTTGATCATGTGTTTATGCAAAAAATGCATCGATCAGGATTGAATCATAATATTATAAATACTATGAATAATTATTATTAAGAATAACTATTTTATATCAATTTGTAATTTTTATTTCTAACTACAATTTTACTTATAATCATAATTTATATTTACTATAGAAAAATAAATATTTATTGTACTATAACTTTTTAAATATTTATTCTAAATATTAACTATCTTATATCAATTTGTAGCTCATATTAAGATTTATAATTTTATTTAGAACATCAACAAATATTTACTTGAACTCAAACTCAATTTTTGATCAAATTTGAGTCAAATTCAAAGTTCAAACTGAACTCAAATCAGATTTTTAATTAGTTTTGAATTTTTGAACTGAACTTTTGATTAGGTTCAAGTCCAATTCAAGCTCAAACTGAATTAGACTTGAACTGAATTAGACTTTTTTTTAAAACTCTAATGAGACTTTTATTAATAGAATTTATAAATTATGAAATTAACTTGAGCAGGTATTAAAAAAGAAATTTTACAGCAATTAATTAAAAAGATTTCATGAAAGATAACTCTTATTTGAATCAGAAGTAATATTATAATTATATTATAAAAATTATAATTTGTAAAATCTTATAAAATTATAAAAATCATGTAAAGAACTTAGAACATTTACAATTATATTATATATTATTAATTATTAATTATTATATTCATATATTTTTATTTTTCTATTTTGTATTTTTATATTTTTATATATATTTATACTTTTATATATTTATACATTTATACATTTTATATATTTGTACTAATATACTTTTTATACTTTTATATATTTATACTCTTATATTTTTTATATTTTTTATATTTTTATTTTGGATAGATATATCTTAACCAATCAAAATTCTTTAAGATTTATACTTTTTCTCCTTTATTTTTCTACTTTTTATATTTAGTAAATTGGAATTTTATTTTTAGTTAGTGTAATTATCTTTTATATTTTTTTCTTGTTTTTAATATTACATTTGTATTTCATGAAAAATATATAAATATAAGTTGTAATTGAGTTTTAACTTAATATATCAGAACTTGAGAATAGATAATATAACAAAACAAATATCTTTTAATACTTAAATAATTCACCTTTTTCTCTTAACTATATACTTCAAATTTTGTAAACAAGTAACTTTAAGATCATATTGAGCTAATTAAAATATTAATATTGAATTATTGAATTGATATTTTGTTATAAACTAGTTTTTTAATATTTTTATTGTAATCAAATTATTTGGAATCCCTTAATTAAAAATATCATAATCTCTTGTTTGTGATAAAAATAAAGTGAAAGTGTCTTTATTACTTTTGTTATTTTATTAGCTCTGAAACATATTTATACTAATATAAAGAGTTAGTTTGTTCATTATTTTAATTAAATAATTTATAAATTAATTAGTTGATATGATTAATCAGAACATTATATCTATTTAAAATCCTATTATCTTATTCTTTTTTCTTTTTAAATTATAATAATTTCAGTAAAAATTGATATAAAACTTAGATATTATTTTTATATTATTCTTATATTTATCTAATTACCTTTTTCAACTCTTATTTGTATTTATTAGCTAATTATTCAATTAGTGAAAAATGTATAATAATAGTTATAAATTTAATTAAACTTTCAATTTCTAATTTTAATTCTTATTATTATATCTTATTCTTTATTTTATTTATTTTATTCTTTTTTTTCTTATCTTTATAGCTTATTTATTTTATTTTAATATTGTTGTGATATGAATTTTAATATATTATATAATTTCTTATAGTTTATTTTAATTGGATAATTGATTTTTATATAATTTATAAATTATATTTATATTTATTTTATATTATTCATATTTTACTCATATTATTTTATTCTATTTTTATTATATTTCATATTATTCTATTTTTATTTCATATTATTTTTATTATATTTCATACTATTTTATTCTATTTTTATTATATTTTATACTATTTTATTCTATTTTTATATTGTTACTGTTTTGATGGAACTTTTGAAATACTCAAAGATATTTATAAAATTTAAGGAATATTCAAAGGGAAACTTCTGATATCTTAATGACAATTCAAAGTATTAATAATACTTTATAACTATTAGACTGAATATGAATAAGTACTAAAAGTACTAGTGACAAAATCACTTAAAGGTTGGTAACAATTGTGTTCTTTTAATACAATAACTGAATTGCTAAAAAGAATTCTCAAAATCTCAATGTCAAATATAATATACATATTAAAACGTCTTTAAATCTTTGAAGTCAAATATAAGATATAATATTCGTATTATCAGCAATATAAATCGAAGATAAATATATGAATAATGTATTATTAGCAATACAAAGTCAAAGGTAAGTTTATGAGCAATGTATTATTAGCAATACAATCTCAAAG